TACAGTTCGAAAACTTACATCAATGACTCAACTATGGGGGTCGATCTTTTAGCAGACTAACCTTTGAGAATAGAAATTAAAAAATGAAGTTTGGAGCTGCGGTACTGCTGCTGCAATAGCAGTAACGTAACGTAACCTTAAGCGATAATAATAGCGATGATAATAACGTAACCTTGAGAATAATAGAAAACAAAACAGCAATAGATCTACAACCTCGAATGGAAAAATCAAGCCCTGTAAAAGGCGTGGACGCACATGGGAAAGACATGCAAGAACTGCAATAAACCTAAGTATTATTTCGCAAAATAGTGTAGATCACAACTGAAAAAATCAGAAAAGGAGAGTAATCTGGTAGTGAAAGATTTGGTTCATTCGAAGAATTCAAGATTATGTCGATACAGATAAACATACCAGTGGGAGAAAAGATCTCGAGGTATGTCAAGGAGAGATTAAAGGAAACAAATCAAATAACGAATTTGGAGGAAATACGAATAAAAAAAAGATCTACTTAGAGACCCAAAATGTAACCAACAAAGTGACTTAAGGCTATGGTCCGAATTGAGAACCAGATAGTACAACTAACGTTAGACACGGGAAGTCCAGTGTCATTCCTAAACTGGGCAACAACAAAAAAAAAGAGAGGTCGAAAAGATAATGATTTATCCCGGCAGAAAAAGTAAATCTGGTGGCCAATTTGGTGGATTACAACAAACAACCGATCTTTATTCAGACCTACGTTCGGCAGGCTGGCAGGTGAATTGAGCAACGCTCCTGTCACAGAACGCAGAACTAGATGTATAATGGGTCTGGTCCTCCAGGGACAAGTGGGCAGGCATATCTTCCATCCAAAGACCGGCACCAAGGGAATTGTCAAGATTTGAAGTACTACTGTGCGAGCAGTCAAAGGGTTGGTAAAACAAATTTTAACGCAATTTGAAGACTTGTCTGAAAGACAAGGAATTTCAAAAAACCATATAATGAGCTCAAAATTCAACTACCCCTTTTGTTCAACTCAAGAAAAGGGGAGAAGAATACCAATACACATGCAGGATAAAGTACAACACTTATCTTTGGAAATTCATATTACCAGTTCAGAGACTGTTTCATTGCACCAAATGTGAAAGCAGTCAAGAAAGATGATTCAATAAAATAGGCAATAGATGCGAAGCCAATCAATAGGCAACTATTCAAGAACAAGTACCAAATGCCAAATGTCGACGAAATAATAGATAGAGTTAGCCAACTTGTCACAGAGACGAAAGGGCACGCTAAACTTCACGATACTTGATCTGAAGTATGCCTATAGACAACTAAAATTGTCTGCAGCTACAGCTCGTCATAGCAATTCCAAAATTCGATGCTACAGGAACCTATAGCTTGCTGGTTTTTACGGCTTAGCAGACATACCGGCCAAAATCCACAAAACCAAGGACAGAACAATTAATCATGCACAGAAAACGTTTTGTTTTTTGGACGATATGCTCATTATATCAAAAGGCAAGGAAATAGAACATGAAAAATTAGTTTAAAAACTCATAGAAAACCTAGATGAAGAAAACTTGCCATTAAAATTTTTGAAGTGTGAATTCATCAAAAACGAGGTAGATTGGTTAATCCATCACTTATCAGAGTCGGAGTTCACACCAAAATTCATTAAAACACAAGCTATTCACAATCAATATTCACTTAAATCGTTAAAACAAATAAGATCATTTCTAGGTAGGATAAATCATCTATCATAACTTATTCCGAACGCAGCAAGCCTTACAGATAAACTCCGACCACTTTTAGAAGAAGAGAATGAAAAAAAATTTAAAAAATGAAAATGCCAGTGAGGAAGTTCGAGTGGGTGATACAACATACAGTCGTCTTCGAGAGTATAAAAACGCAGTTGCTAATATCTCAAAGGTAAATTATTATAATGCAAATAAAAGCGCAAGGGTTAAATGCGACGCCAACCACAATGAACTGAATTCCACCATAGAACAGCAAACAGATTCCAAAATCTTTCGCTTCTTGATGCCTAAACATAAGAGAAAAAAGTACTCTACGAATGAATTAGAGCTCTCGCGCTGGTTGTTTGGGCAGTTGACAGGTACAAAGTTTACATATTAAGAAACAAAATCATCATTGTAACTGACCATAAGCATTAACATCAGCCCTAGATGAGAAGAGATCATACAAAACATATAAATCCAGGTTGACCCGTTGATCCAGGTAGGTTATTTCTCTATCAATTCAAAATAGTTCACAGTTCAGAAAAAGACACGGGAATTGTTGACTATTTTTCACGAGAACCTCATAGTGATCCTTGGCGCTAATCAGAGTCAGACGAAAAACTCATAGTAACAGCAATTGACTACTTTCACAAAGCTCTAGACTGCATGAGCAGTAGGCCAGAAAACAATTGTTCGTTCAACGGAACGAAAATGTTCTAGAATATTCTAAAACAAAATAACTACAAAATTCGTTCCTTAACGGTTGATATGGCAACCAAAACAGTCAAAACGAAAAAAAAACTCGTCCGGAACAAAATAAATCAACTTTCGCGATCATCCAAATAACTAAACAGCAAAATTTTACTGCAAAAAAAAACTTTCATACGACTGTGGGACACACCACACGGACGATGGCAAAGTGTGAAGACTGGTAGGAAAGCCTAATGAAACCACACTGGAATCGATTATTCAGCAATACGAACAATATGTCGGAGGAGAAAGAGGTCACAGTTACATAGCATGAAGGAGAAAGATCAAAGAAAGCCTGAAAAATTAAGAAAGTTCGGAGAGTGAGACCCGTCATCCATCACGGGTCAAATGGGCATTGTCGGAAGATCAACAGAGAAAAGCTTTTTGTGGCAGTTAATCGGCGGAGAATCGAGCACACCACCAAACAGCACACGAGAACTGGAAGCGGTAACAGAAAAAATTTTCCGGCTAGGATCAGTATCACATCCGCAGAACCTAAGAAATCAATTCGAGGTGACATCAGAGTGATTGAGATCAATCTCTCGACCACAAAGGACAACGGAGACGAACAAGAAGTCGAGCGACCACGCCGACCACGCTGCAAAATAGAGCGACCACGCCGAAATCGTCAAAATTCCAGAAAGGACAGCGAACTTCCGAGCTGGTTGGAGGAAGACTCACTGGACAAGTTCTCAAAACTTTTAGACAAGAAGCTCTTAGCGGAGCTAACTTCTGAAATACCTGGATGGATTGGCTCAAAAGAGTGATCGAGAGAGGGGAAAAACCCGGATTTGATTCGATTGGACGCCATACTGATCCTTTATGGAACCAGATGGCATTGCAAGACGATTGCGTACTTGTCGACAATCGACTAGCCGTAGCCGTACAACTACGCCCAACAGTATTGAAATGAGTTCACAGAAGACACCAGAACAGGAGATGATGCTAGGAGTATCAAGATTGATGTGGTGGCCTCATGTGCACAGAGACATTGTGAATCTCGCGGAGGAAGGCCGTAGTTGCAGTAGATATGGTAAAAACGCAAAATAACTTAATCCAAAAACTGCATCAAAACTTCTACCACTGCTTACTTAGCCGGGTCAGGAACTCCAGTTATCACGCGGGTCAATAGAAAAGCATAACCGAAAAAAGTTTACTTGCTAGTAGCTATTGATGGATTCTCGAAAGTTCCGTCAGTAAAAACAACTAAATCAACGAGTGGAAAGACAACAGTAACTTTTTCCGAACATATATTGGTACACATGTTATTCCGGAATTGATTTAACCAGACTAATTTACTGATTTCAAGGGAAAATATTGAAAAAATTTGTACGGAAAACAAAATCGAACAAAATTTCCGCCCGGTAGGTGAGCATCGGGGTTAACAATTATTAGAAAGAACAATACAAACAATATAGCAAAGACTGGGAGTAGTTTAACTAGAAAAGAATGAACGCTCGATTAAACTCTGCCTCAGCACTTTAATCCGCGATTTGCGATAGCCGATAGATCAAACAAAAAACCATCCAAGTTTATCCATTTTAGGCACACTTCAGTAGACTACCGAAAACTGAATTTATATGATACATGATAAATTTTTAACAAATTCTGATTATTTGAACAAACAACATCTGGAATGATCAGCGCTGACAGCATTTCAGCTCAAAAGAAGAACCGACCAGTCCAGGAAAAAATCTAAAAATTGTCAGAAAAGGGACACTTAGCAGAGACTCAATTCCGATGAAAAGAAACAACAACTTACCACAGCACGAGATAGAAAACGAGCACAAGTCCTAAAAAATCTATTGGAGGAGAACGCCAGATGGATCAAAGAGCGTAAAGACGCCAAGAAAAAAGACATCAGACGAATTGAAGACAATTCAAAAGGAGACAATTCTGGACAATTCAACCCAGAACTCAAAAAGGAGCTGTTCAACTCCTGGGAAAAAGTTTTCACCAAAGACAAAGAAGAAGAAAAATGGCCCTCACAAAAAAACGATACTCCGAAAAGACGAACTCAAGAAAAGCGGTCAGGCGCTGACGAAACCCCCTAGGTAAAAATAGCTTCCAAAACAGGGTCAACAGTGAAAGCGTCCGGAGGATCTACTTCCAAAAATCAGATATTGAAAAAACTTATCTGCAACAAAAACCGATGCTAGGCTCGAGCAGGAGCCTATCAGCGGAGCCAAAGAAGATGCGCTTAAAA